TTTTTCTGTCCTTGTCTCAAATGTTCAAATCCTTCCAAATTTTCAACCTATTTTATAAATATTTGCAGGCATATTAATAAAAGGGCAGGTTAAGGACTGGTCTATCTCCCATCAATTGTCATGTTTGTGTGGATATCAAGGGTTTGGGAGAATTAAGTAATTACAGAACCTTTTGTTCCAAAAGTGTCTGATGCAACTGAGTTTTCTACCATAGGTGAATATTATCTGATATAAGGGCCAGCACCACATGTGGTCAGATTTTGTAGAGGTTGGGATATCTGCTGCAAAGTTGGATATGATCAAATGCAGAGAGCCAAATGACTTTGAATCCTTCAAGTGGTAATTCAAACTGTATAAATCTCTCTCTCTCTCTCTCTCTCTCTCTATATATATATATATATATACACACACACACATACATATATAATGAGACCTATTTACTTTGAAACTCTAGAGTAAAGTGAATATGAGAATGGTAGTTCCCTGACTGCAAACATTTCCATTTTACAAAGATTATTCAATGTAATATGAAATTTGAATGATATTTTAGGTACTAATTGAAATCTCTGTATCAGCATAAAATAATGAATGGTTGCATACAATATTGCAAACAGTAAAAAAATTATAATGGAAGATACTATATATGTAGAAAAGGAGGATAATATGCAAATAGATAATCACCAGAGACTCATCTTAATTGCAAAAATAATAATAAATGACTTGAACATCTCACTGGCAACAAGTAAATGACAGAATAATCACATGAGATCAACAGCACACAGAACAAACTCTAGCATCCAACTGGTGCTTTAATCCTTGCAGCATTTGTGTTACAAGATCATATACAATAAAGCAGCAGCTGCCCAAAATATATTTTTAATACTACATAGATCTACACAAACAGTATATAGGTCAAACTGAACTTTAAGAAAATAGGTTTAAGGAAATAAATTTGTCAAAAAGCAAATATATGTACATACAAGTGTGTGGCGGAAGAGGGATCATTTCAACTTGTTTTGAATATTGTTCCCCAGGTGCATTGAAATGAAACAGAACAATTATGCAGGAGACTGAGGAAGCAGGATAAGAATTCCTCATGGTCTGAGCAGGTAATAAATATTATTTTCCTATTACAAGGGTAGAAAAAGCTTGATACATGTACCCTAGACACAGGAGAACGTGCTTTACTACATACCAGACCATTAAACTTGGCCATATTCTGAATGACATCTGTCCAATAAAGAATTAACCCTTTCTGGGAAGAGGGCTATCTCTGATCAGAATGAAGATTTGATTTGTCTCATAGATTTTTTTTTTCGTGTCAGGAGCAACTGTTCCTGTTGTGAGAGAATTGGCCATCTGCAAGGACGTTGCCCAGGGGACGCCTGGATGATTTTTGATGTTTTATCATCCTTGTGGGAGGCTTCTGAGGAGCTGGAGCTAATAGAGGGAGCTCATCCGCCTCTCCCCGGATTCGAACCTGCAAACTGTCGGTCTTCAGTCCTGCCGGCACAGTGCTTCAACCCACTGCGCCACCGGGGGCTCCTTGTCTCATAGATACAAATAGCACATATAGAGCAGGACTTTTTAATTTTTTTCCATTTGTAACCTTTTTCCACCCGAGAATGTTTTATGTGAGTCCAGGTATATAAAATAGGTATAAAAACCAAACATTCACTGAAAATAAAATCAGCATTTGCAAGTCCTGTTAAACAGGATGGTTTTCCTTTTGGCGAAGCACAGTTGAAGCATTTTCTGCAGAGTCCACTATAAACACTGCACTGCTTCTAGCATATTTGTGTAAATGGGTAGCATTTACACAAACCTTTTACAGTTGCCATTTTTGTGACTTCAACACTTTATTTATTTATTTATTGTATCAGGAGTGAACCAAACAGTTGTATTGTGTTTTTTAAATAGAAACCAAAACAAAAAAAACAAAAAATCACAAAGTTGCAAACTTGGCATTCTATTAACTGACCTAAGAGTACCCCATTTGAGGTTGGGACCAACAATTTAAGAAGCAGTGAGCTAGAGCACATGATAACACTCACTCCCATCCCAAAGATGAACATATTGAACTTAAAATCATGGAAGAGGACACTAGGGCCATCTAGCGCAACCTTTGCCATGAGTGAATATTCAATCATAGTATTCCTGACAAATAGGTATCCAGTATCTGTTTTAAACCCTTCAAAGGATAAGACCACCACATTCCAAGGCAATGTTTTCTACTGTCAAATAGCTCTTGCAATCAGGAAGCTTTTCCTAATGTTCAGGTGGAAACCTTTTCCCCCACAGTTTGAATCCATAACTTTGTGTCTCCTAATTCTGGAGCAGAAAAACAACACCCCCCCCCCCCAACATAGTCCATCTTCAGCATGGCACTCTTTCAAAGAATTAAGCATGTCACTTCTTAACCTTCCATTCTCCAGGCAGAATATATCCAGTTCCCTAAGCTGCCCATCATATAACATGGTTTCTAGGCCTTTTACTTTCATTTTCCTATGGACACATTCCAGCTTGTCAATATATTCCAGTGCTCAGAAGTGGACACAGTATTTCAGGTGAAGTATGACCAAAGATCCTATACTCCTGTTGATGTAGTCTAGAATTGTATTGACTTTTTTAGCTGCTTCATCACACTGTTGACTCATGGTTCAGATTATGGTCTGTTAAGCCTCCTAGATCCCTTTCACATATACTGTTATCAAGCCAGATATCATCAGTCCTATATTGGTGCATTTCATTTTTTTCTGCTTTGGTATAGTACTTTACATTTCTCCCTGTTGAAATTAATTTTGTTAAGGTAAGAATGATCATTAGTGAGCCCATTAATTCCACATACAAAGTCCTCTCTCTCATCTTTAATTTGATTGATGGGGAGCTGACCATTACACAATCGTTATAAGATCAAGGCCATGTTCAATTCTGAGATCCCATGTAAATTCTTTAGCATATATTTGAGCTACACTAAATAGGTATATAATTTTGGCTCCTGTTTATGATGTGTCTGAATGATTTTGTATCTTCTATCCCAAAATATCTGAATTACCAAAACTAAAATCATTCCTGCTTCTCAGGTTAATTTAAATTATATAAGTATTTTCTTAAATGAAAGCTATCTCTATTTGGTTGTCTGTTTTGTTTAAGCCTAAAACTAATTAAGATGGCTGTCATCAGTAAACAGTTATCATTTCTAGAGCACAGATCAGAGATGAAGCTAGAAAAAGAGGAACATGTGCACCAAAACAAAATGATCCTGATGTTTATGTAGTACAATATTTCATTTTTTAAAACACATTATTGTTTTCTCCCAGCACTTTGACTCCTGAAGATAAGGTTGCCTGATGGGAAACTAATGAAAATCAATGTATAAAGGCTTTCATGGCTGGAATCACTGGGTTGCTGTGAGTTTTTAAGGGGCTATATGGCCATGTACCAGCAGCATGATCTCCTAATGTTTCACCTGCATCTGTGGCTGGCATCTTCAGAGATTCTGTTGGCAGTGAGTCAAGTGGAGTGTATACCTGTGGAAAGTCCAGGGTGGGAAAAAGAACCCTTATCTGTTTAAAGCAAGTGTGAATGTTGCAGTTAGCAAGCTTGAATTAGTATTTGAGTAGCCATGAAGTTTGCAATTCAATCAGTGAGTTTGGGAGGTATACAGCTCGAAAAAAAATCACAGCAACCTACTGAAAATCAATTTCTGAAATGCTGCGTAAGTCCAGTAGAATAGGGAAGAGGAGCATGGCTTGAGGGAAACCTTGGATTTTTCAATAAAGAATTTGGATGTAAACCTGAATGTAGGTAAAATCAAAACAAAAAGAACTGGAAGCTCTCAGTGCTTCCAGAGACCTGCAACCCTTATGAATGAGTCCTAAGTTATTAGCATTTGGAGGTTCAAATGAACCTCCACGTGCTGATAGTACCATACATTGTATTTCAGGGATGGGAAAACTACGTTTGGGCTGCTTTGGACCTCACCTTTGAAGCCTCCTTATCAATTTATCAATGTGCTCTGGGCCCCTCAATTTTTTTTCATGTAAAAATTGTCCAAAAATATAAATCAAAGTCCTGCCAAATCTATATAACTTTTCCATCCCTCTGTGAGGCTGTGTCTCCTCTCAAATAACTTCTATCCATGTGTCTCATTCAAGAAGGTGAAAAGAAGTGAGACAATGTGACTTAGAAGTAGAAACAGAGAGAAAACAAGGAATTTTGTTGTCTTTTGGTTGTGGCCCATAGGATTGTAGATGCAAAATTGCCCACACATATTCTCTTTTAATATAGCATTTGATTTAGGAGCTGCCCATAGAACTTATATTAAAAGTTGTCTATATACATAAATATTTTCCCAATTTGTTGTTCTCCAGATGTATTGGACTACAACTCCCATCACTCCTGGCCAGTAAGATGAATTAGCTCAAAAGGACACACTATAGTAATCTTGCATCAGGTATGTCTATGCCCAGATAGTACATATTTGTAAGGCTATCTAGAAGCTTGATATGTACCATTTAGAGTACTGTTATGGAGGAAAAGCAGAAGATAAACCTAGTAGATAGCTTACAAAATAGCAAATGTTTCAATAATTTGTATTGAAATTATTATAAGCTAATTGCAGTACATAATAATAATAGTAGTAATAATAATAATAATAATAATAATAATATGAAGTATAATAATACGAAATCCAGCATATATATGTCTCGTTTGCTGTGTCATACTGTGTTTTTGTGTCAGTATAATGATAATAATAAAGCTTTATTTATATCCCACCCTATCTCTGTGTGGGGACTCAGGGCAGTTTACAACAAGTTGCGGAAGACAATGCCGTACAATACTAAACAAAGAACGAACTAACCAAAACATACCCAAATCACACATCAGTTTTAACTCTACTTATAACCTTCAAATATAAACTCATATGGTGTTGTAACACTTAGTCCATCCGTTATTAAAGTGCCTCAACTATCAGTGAGTTATACATTATAACTTACTTTATGGATTTGTTTGCAGGTACTTCCGGTAGTTTCACTGTTATCATCCCATCAAGATTGGTCTTATCAATGAAGAGGGGTTGGGTACGCAGAACATCTGGTGCCGTTTTTGCTGTTACCCGGTGTTGAAGACCTCCAGCACTATTCCCTCTATTGGTTAGCACAAATGAATAAGATGTCTCAGGCTTCAAGTTGGTGATAAGTTTCTGAGTGGCTCGACCATCCACTTCAACTGCCATTTTTCCATCATCATAAAGGATCTAAGGAGCGGGGATTCATTTTATTATTTTTCAAAGCAAAATATGAGTAGTTAAGGAAATAGTACAGGAAAAACTTCTATTATCTAGGGTTCAATTAATGGTATGTTCGTGATAGTAATTCACCTAAAACCTAAAACCAGTATTAGATCATGAAAATTATTGCTAAGAACATGAAGAGAGAAACACAAGGAGATACTCCTGGATTATCTGAAGAATCCTAATATGTAATATCCTATCCATTTTCGATAGTAGTCATAAGATTATTTTGAAAAGAAAGGCAAGAAAGTGTCTGCGTCTGAATCTGGTGGAGAATGTCATGCAAATAAATTTTGCATCCATTTTCTCCATATTAATCAGAGGGTTTTTTTCACATCTTGTCCCAATGTGCATAGCATCTAAAACCCAGGAGGGTATTTTAACATGAATGATGGAGAAAATACCATATATATACATACATATATATCCCTTTTGTCACACATAATCAAAATTGCTTAATCTGATAGGGTCAGCCACCTGTAGGTATCCGATACTTAAATGGCAACAGTTGTAGCTTTCCTAATGTGTTGTGCACATTCTTCTGTGTAATTGGTATATAACTTCTACTGCAGTTTTAAATAACTGTCTTTAAAACTGTCATATACTGTTTTTAAAAAGGAATGTCACTTAATGCTTACTTTGAATGCCTTTTTAAAAACTGATTTGCTCATTTTCATAATTTTTCCTTTTTTCAAACTTGTCATTGATATAGTTTCTGGGCATCTAATAATTTAATTTCATTTAACATTTAATCTGACAGCGCTGTGGACACAATTAAATAATTAACACCTGGCTCACATGCTACAAGTGAAGATTTGTGGTCAATATTTTGCTCAAGACACATTATTGTCATACAAAAAAACTCCATGTTTCTAAACAGTCTTACTTTTTGCATATAACCATGGCCATCTGGACATGTTTTTTTTTTCTCAGTAAAATGTGTTACTAGAAAAATAATCGTATCATTTTTAGTCAAAAGACCCATAAAATTTCTCTGTAGAATAATTTCTTTGAACATTTGGGCATTTGAAAATATCGGTTAAAACTACAAGTACGTTATTTTCCTGACCGGGTTTTGAGAGGCAGGGAGATAATGATAAACATCCCTTCATTTCTATAGGGCATCTGTTAACAGAGGTGAATGGGCATTAATATTGTTATCTGCTCCCTTAATCCCATACATTTGTATTATCATGAATTTACTATATATTTGGTTGTCCATAATAAAGAGCCAGTGTTGCATACAATTTCTCTACATGGATTAGAACAGGACAGGGCAATTTGAGCAGGTCTGGGAGCTTATACCACTCCAGCCCAGAGTTGTACGATGGGACATATCTCCTTCAAAAATATCCCATCAGCCACAGCAAAACCAACAGAAAAAAGGGAAACACCCCTCTTTCACCATTAAAGGAAGACCCTTAGCAATGCTTTGTAGAAATGTGTTGCCTTCATGAATTGGAATATTTTGAATATTTCTGTTTGGATGAGCAGGATTCAGGGGAATGTATGGGAGTTGTATGTTGGCTGTGGACCATGTGTTTCCTATCTATGTGGTTGAGGAAATGATGCCCAGTACATTGTTTTGTGGGTCAGATATATCCTGAGGAACATCAGATATGTATTCTTTTTCTTTTTTAAAGAAAAAAAAATTGAAATAAACACTGATGAATGAATAATGACTACATAATATGGGATGAGCAACTGCAGAGTTACGAATACTTCATTAGATTCCCAGGAATCCTGGAGGGCTGTCCCCACCAAAATTTACAAAAATGTTTGTTGGTCTCAAATACCTTTCTACTGTCTTCTAGACTAGGGCTTTTTAAATTGTGGGACCCGATATCAAATGGGGTCTCCTTAGTCCAATGTTGGGAGTCAAGAAAAAAATTGACAACACTAAAAGCTTTCTGGATGCCACACATTTACACAAATCTGTTAGCAACCATGTGCAGTGCTTACAGAGAACTCTGCAGAAAATGCTTCAGCTGGACCCACACAGAAAGGAAAATCTGCCTGTTTAGCAAGATTTGTAAACGCTGATTTATTATCAGTAAATGTTTGCTTTCTTTACCTATTTTGTAAACCTACATGCCCAGGATCATATAAAATGTGTTAGTTGGAAAGGGGTTGCGAACTGAAAAAAAATGTAAGAAGCCATGTGCTAAAGCAATAATTCTCAACCTGTGGGTCCCCAGATGTTTTAGCCTTCAACTCCCAGAAATCCCAACAGCTGGTAAACTGGCTGGGATTTCTGGGAGTTGAAGGCCAAAACACCTTCAGGTTGAGAACCACTGGAAGTTTCTGTCACATTTTGGCCCTCTGAACCATTTTAAGCCTAGTAAAGAGTATTACTTTTCAAATAGCCAATGATCCAGTTCCAGTTAAGATCAAATTCATATAGAAGTCATTGATTGAACACTGGAGGGGAAACATTCTGAGTCTGATTTTAAGTATATTTCCACCATATGTAAAATATATTGAAATATAATGTTAAAATAGTAAGTATAAAAGACATTATGGGACATGAGGTTGAATCAGTAATTGCCATTTTTGGCTTTAGCGGGGAAATCTGTTAAGCAAAATGAAAAACATGTTATCTGGAAATTTCATGTTTGCTACTTGAATCTTAGTAATGAGAATGAATGAGGCATTTTCAAAGGAAATCAGGCTCGGTTTGCAACTCATTCATACAGAGCCTATGAAATTCAATAAGACCCTTTTTATAGCACGATACTAAGAATGCACTACCTGGAACACCACACTGTTGACACTCCTACAAAATAATAGAAAGTTTTGGGATGAGAGTTTTGAGGAAGGTAGTATACCATATCCAAAGCCCTTTTTCCAGTCGGAAAAATATGTGGAGTCAGATTTCTCCTCTTTTCTTTTATTGTTGCTTTTCCACTTCCATTGGTTATAATATTAGCAAAAATAGCTATAACAGCCTCAGGTAAAGGCTTGATATAGGCTCTGTTCAAGGAATGAGGGCCCTTAGATATGGCAGTATAAAAATGCACAATAATGTTATCCTTGAAGCTAAGTCGAATGCTCCCAACTTTAGTCACAACAAGCTGATATTAGTGCAATGCCCTCATAGTAAACTGTGGGCCCTGTAACAGATATGCACTCCAAACTGAGAGTTACTTAATCAAAATCCAACTTGAAATATTACCTGAAAAACAAAAATTATGGATGGGAGGAAATGTCAAAAGTTTTTTTCTCTTTTAATTTATTATTTATTTACAATATTTATACCCTGCTCTTCTCACCCTGAAGGGGACTCAGAGCGGCTTACAGATTATGGCAAAATTCAATGCCTCATTATACATAAAAATAATAAATATAACATATCAAATTGTAAAACAGTTAAAACATATAAATGCAATAAAAAGATTAAGGGAGCTAACAACATATAAAACAATGAAAATAATTAAGAGACACCAAAAAACTAATTTCTCCTTCAATAGGTTTTAAGCTATGATTTTAAGGGAAACTAAAGAAGTGAACAAGACACTTCCATTTATAACAATCACAAGAGCAAAAACAAAGAAGGGAAATTGTATTTTTCACCCTCTTTTGTTTAATCTAATTTAAGTACCACTGAACTGTAAAGGAAGAAAGGGTTGACATCATCTGTAATATTTAATATCAGTCAAAAACCTGGAAGGCTGCCACCATGCTAATATTAAGGTGGAAAGTTCACATTGCCAGAAAACCAAACATAACAGCAAGATTTAGCATTTCTAAATAAGCTTTAAAAGTGTAGTGGATTTTTAAAAAACCCTGCGTTTAGTAAACTGCTTAACCAGGACATTCGTCCATCACGAGTTCTACCCTTCAAATCTTGCAGATAACAAAACAACTTACTTTGAAAGGCAGGGCAGAGTTGTAATTCTCTGGTATCTCCCAAGAGAGCAATACTGATGTCTTCATCACTGCTTTAACATGAAAATTTTTTGCAAACACTGCTGGAAAAGGGAAAGCAATGTATTTAAAGTACAACTTGACCCTTGGGGTCCTGTCCCAATTATACCACTAACCACATTCATTAATGATCCTACCTGCTTTTAAAATCATATCCCATTTTCACACATGGCAACTCAGAATCTTTTATTATTCTTACCTTCAATTATTACGTAGATGTGAGCCAGGCTTGTCTGATATGGGATAACTGATTTCTAATGAATCCAAAACACATGAAGATTTACATACTTTACCTCTGTTGTTAGTTGAAACTATTTATACGACGGATTGGTCTATTTTAATTAGAGCTTCACAAATATCGATATCCAAAGACTGAGATTCCTTTAAAAGACAATCCATAAGCAGACAAATCCTACCTTGATCCACAGGTAGTGTCCTGAATTGGACACTCGGACTATATGGACCGGGCCCTTTGCTTGTGTGTGCACGTATTTTTACATCATATGTGGTATCTGGTTTTAAGCCCGAGAGTGTCATAATGGTATCAGGAGGTACGACAGGGACCTCTGTTGGGTGATGGACCACATTGATGTCCCTGTACTGCAGAGTATATTTGGTGATAATACCATTTCTCTCTGATAAGATGGGTGGTTGCCAAGTGAGGTGGACTGAAGTTGAGGTGGCACTTTCCGAATGCAGGTTTTGAGGAAATCCGCTTGGTAGATCTTCTGGAATTGAAATTTCTTTTACTATCTCCTCCCCAAATCCCACTTTATTTCTCGCTGAAAGCCTGAAGATATAAGAAGTCCCTTTGTGAATATCTGTAGCTGTGTAGTGGTCATCTTTGTCGGTAAAATCCCTTGTTGCCAATGCATCAGTGTCCTTGCGGCCAAACCTCAGGCGGTATCCCTGCAGGGGACCATATGTGTCGACAGGTGGGTGCCACTGAATGAGAGCCGTACTCATTTGTGTGTGGCTAATTACAAGCCGTGGTTTTCCTGGAACTGCAACACAATATTATTTTAGTATGAATATAGCTGCATTAATCTTTTCTAGTATTATACTTCCTGTTTCTAAAACATTATTTATGCAATAAAGACTTGTTCCAAACATTTAACAAATATTCATTAAGAAAAAGCAATAGGTGTGAGCAGCTTTTTCTTGCCTTCTTTTCCAAGTAGTAAATTCACTGGGCAGAAGTCATGATACATACATATGTGAACCTATATTATTTATTTAAGTGAATGTATTTCTAAAGGACCAGTTCAAAGAATCAAGCAAACAACTTTCTTTAAATGGGAATGAACGGTCAGTGACAGCACACATTTGTTTACAAAAGGTTCCTGGTTTAATCCCCAGCATTTTCCCAGCATTGAAAAAGAACCCCATTTTCTACAATGCTAAGGTACATTGGCATGACCTCTTTTTAAAATGGCCCATATCACACTCTTGATCTAATAGATAATTGTTTATTGGACTGGTTTTGATCATACTAATTTGGAAGAAAGTTTTAAACTGGTTTACTGGATAGATTACTATGGAAAACAGTTGTTTAAGAAATTATATCCTCAAAAAGGTGTATGACTGGACATTAGGTCCAGTCGTGTCTGACTCTGGGGGTTGGTACTCATCTCCATTTCTAAGCCAAAGAGCCAACGTTGTCCATAGACACCTCCAAGGTCATGTGGCCGCCATGACTGCATGGAGCGACGTTACCTTCCTGCTGGAGTGGTACCTATTGATCTACTCACATTTGCATGTTTTCGAACTGCTAGGTTGGCAGAAGCTGGGGCTAACAGCGGGAGCTCACACTGCTTCCCAGATTCGAACCTGTGACTTTTCGGTTAGCAAGTTAAGCAGCGCAGCAGCTTAACCCACTGTGCCACCGGAGGCTCCATTTTCTAATAGTAGATATCAGCAAATGGAAAGCATTTTTCAAAATGGAAAGGTCTTTTCAAAATATCAATTCCTGTGCAGAAAAAATAGTTTTCTGTGCAGAAAGTGCTGTTTTTATGCAATCCATCATATACAAATTTTACACAGACTAAATCCCCAATTATAGTATTTCTGTGCAGAGAACTACATTGCTTTTAATGTTTGCTTCCAATCAGACCCCTCCCCCCCTCCTAAATAATTATTAGGTGGCTGCAAAATTTGGGATTACTTATGTATAGCCCATGACATTTTAGTTTATAATTTCATAAACAGAGAAATCCTTCACAGAAATTAGCAGGATTATTGCTTTTTAGAAAAATCTAGGAAGTACCAGGAGTATTAACTGTTAATGTCAGCAATAGAAGAATTATATTTCTTGTAACTGTTCTCTTCTGGTTCCACATTTCTACTGCCTTATTCTTTTGCAAATCAAATCCAATGCATTATTTTTTTTCTCCGTATTTCCCAATGTGTGCAGTATATCTTCCTGATTAGCTCTGACTTTTCCTCATTGTTGCATAAGAACAGTCTGCTATGGAGTTGAAAAAAAAACCTGCAGATGTGTACTTCAGACCATATTTTTCATTATATTACAACTATCGCTGAAACCAATGAAGCATAAGAAAAAGCAGGAGAGTCCACAAAAAAAGAATAATAAGTCCTTCAGAATTATAAGAGGAGAGGCTGCTGGAAGCTGTCACTAAATTATTTATGCCATAAATTGTTTTTACTCTTGTGGAGGCCTCCACGTTTTAAGCAGTATTTAAAAATCTTGATCACTTCTGCTTATTAAATAGGAGGGAATAAGACTTATTATTATTCCTGTTTGGCAAGCATAATGCACAGAAAAAGACTCCATACATCCTAAATCATTTATGAAAATGAAAAGAACCTTATGAGCTCTTACCTATATTTAGTTCTATATTTGCCTATTATGGTACACAAAATCCAATAACAGGTTTCAAGTGAACAACTATCACTAATGGATATCTACAAGTGTACTCTCAATTTTGAATGAAAGGAATTGCTTCTAATATTTTGGAAAAGCAAAATGAAAAGATCTGTTAATAAATTAGTGATATGATTCCAGCTGAAAAAGCATATATTAATATCTTTTAAATAGAGATGCACACAATGTAACACAGGGGTCCTCAAACTTTTTAAAGTTTGGGGGCCAGTTCACTGTCCCTCAGACGGTTGGAGGGCCGGACTATAGTGTTTTTTTAAAAAAAATCAATTAAAAAATCCTTATGCACATTGCACATATCTTATTATGCTGTGTGGAAGGGTCCTTAGAGGGGGTTCTTTCTAGCGCTCTTTAGGCAGTAATTCCAGGAGCAGAGAATGGGAAATCTTCCTATTTCTAGTCTGAACAAAATCTGGCTACCAGTATTAAAAAAAACTCTAAAATTATAACTGTAAATAAAGAACAACACTCAAACACAGGGGAACTCCAGACAAGAAACAATCAGGGCCAGCTAATCACCTCTCAACAAAGGATTCTCCCTAAAAACTGTCAGGCTATGAAATGGTAGTCAAGGTGGCCAATTGAAACATTCATACCTACCTCCAACAGACAAGAGTTCTTTCTCCCACCCTGGATCTTCCACAATTTTCCTGATTAAAGGTTTTCCTCTGAACTTCTCTAGGTAAGTAAGTAAAGGTTTTCTCCTGACATGAAGTCCAGTCGTGTCTGACTCTGGGGTGTGGTGCTCATCTGCATTTCTAAGTCGAACAGCCGGCGTTGTCCATAGACACCTCCAAGGTCATGTGGCCGGCATGACTGCATGGAATGCCGGGGCAGCCTTCTTGGCTGGCTCACACTCCCCAACGGGCCTGATGACTAGCGTGAGCCTGCCAAGGGAGGAGCAGCACTGCACGGCCTACTTTCGCGTAAAGCACCTCGCGAGGTGCTTTATGCACGAGTAGGCCACGTGGAGCAGCCTCCCTTGGCTGGCTCATGCTGCCCATCGGGCCTGATGGATAGCGTGAGCCTAGCAAGGGAGGAGCAGCACTGCGCGGCCTATTTTCGTGTAAAGAACCTTGTGAGGTGCTTTACGCGTGAGTAGGCCACGCGGAGCAGCTGCCCTTGGCTGGCTCACGCTGCCCATCGGGTCTGACGGATAGTGTGAGCCAGCCAAGGGAGGGGCACTGTGTGGGGGGAGGGCGCTCCTCCTCTGTGGGCCGGATAAGTGCCCTTGGCAGGCCGGAAGTGGCCCGCGGGCTGTAGTTTGAGGACCCCTGATGTAACATATTGACATAACTTAAAACAATCTACAAAAAATCATTTGCACAATATTTTTGTTTCACTGGAATCTTACCTTTGCCTATGATTTATTTAGTTGGGATCCAATGAGCCATAATTGTCATGTGCTGACGTGCAATTTGTATTTTCTGAACAGTGATGTCTATGACAAACTACAGTGATCTCTATGACTTTACTCCTCAGTTATTTTTAAAAGGCAACTTTTTCTCTGGTCAAACTATGGACAGATTATTTTGGAAGCACTCTAGATATATAGTTCAACAAAGTAACTTGTCCTATTTCTGTTTGTAGAGACACCTAACACTGTTTTTGGACCATGCACTGTAGATGAAATGATCCATGCTGAAAATCAACAATGCTTTGGTTTACTATGATAACTTCTTGAAGAAGTATTATTTCCATCCAGAAAGGATCAAAACATAATAGTGATGGTTTAAAATAGTGATTCCCAAATTTTGGTCCTCTAAGCATTTTGGCCTTCAACTCCCAGAAGTTCTAGCTGATTTAAGCAACAAATAGGAATTTTGGGGCCTAAATTCTAAGACATCTGGAGGCCAAGGTTTGTGAACACTGATTTAAAACCTTCGAAACATAGGAAAGATTCTCCAAATATTACCTGCACCAGTAGTAGAGACTAGTCTGGGCTTGCTTCGTGCTCCATCTCCTTTGGTTGTATAGGCTGTCACAGTGAGTGAGTATGTTGTTTCAGGCTGTAACCCAGATATAACCATTTCCTAAAATAAAACAAAATCATCATTATCATCCTCATCCATGTTAATATCATTACACTATGAAATCACAAGAATCTCATCTCCTAGTGGTGCAATCAGTGCATAAGGCTTTCGTGCAACCTGCAGTGATGTGTGAGTCATTTCATAAGCAATAAGCATGGCAATTTTCTAAGTAGCATGCCCAGATGAATCTATCAAGCAGGAAGACAATGGCCTAGTGCTGTTATCTGTACTAAGAAACACAAACCTAGCCCCTTTTCCACAGAACAAATATGCAAATAATTGAAACCAAAACAACAAAATGCCAAAATGCCTAAATTGAGCATTGTAACTACCATACAATGAAAACAACTGTGGATGTGCATGAGTATTTGCTAGCGGTTTTTTTTAAAAAGAAAACAATTAAATCCCTAACTACATGTCTAAGAATCTGACTTCTGTTCTAGTTTCTTAAGGTTTTATTATTGTAATCCTATTCACATCTACAATAAAGTAGGCCCACCAAATTCAAAGGGGCTAAATTCAGAGTAAACGTGTTTATTCCTGTAATTGCATGTTCAGTTGTCATATCCCTTAGCCTAATATCAATAGTGTTCTGTTGATATAAACCAAATCTTATTCCAAATTCAAGACATCTTTTTTTTTGGGGGGGGGGGGTTGTTTCCACAGAGATTTTTGCACACAATTCTTCTTTGTACAAATTAGTACCACTAGTGATGATGACATCAACAACTGCTCCTTATGATCTCATAGGGCCAAGCCATCTTGTGGTGGTCTTCTTAAGACACCCATTCATATCAAAGATACAAGAGAATATGCAAAGATTCTACATAGTCCCGCCCCAATAATAATAATTTTGGCTCCTGCAAAAAACTATTTGCAGCAGTATGGTAGAGAGAACAAAGAGATATAGAAGAGAGTAACAGAGAGATAAAGAGAGGGAGAGACAGCAGCAGAAAGAGAGAGAAAAAGAGGTTTTCTTTTGTCTCTGATACTATCCACTGCTGTTTTCAGCTGACATGTACCTCTGAGAGAACCTCTTCATGAGAATGTGGCCTTCAACATAAAAAATGCTTACGCAGGATATAAAGTTCACAATCCCATGCATATGTAATTGGATGTAAACATAAACTAAATATAACGGGACATATTTTAGAAACCATGTACAGGATTGTGTTTTAGAAATCCCCTCTCCCCCGCTTCATAAAGAAAAACAGCTAAGAACTTTTATTAAAATGCTATTTCTAAAGTGGCATTCAGTGCATGAGTTACCTGTCATCTTGCTTTGAAGTAGAAGAAACCATTAAATATAATTTGAAAATTTAGACTGAAGGGGGGAGAAGTTGAAAAAGCCACTTAGACCTATCCATACCTACTTAGAAGTAAGTCCTTATGATTCTAATGGAACTTATCTCCAATTTAAGTGAGTAGAGAAATGAAGCTTTAAAAAAGTGATCAAGAAAAGGGAATGGAGATTAAAGCATACTTTGATGTTTACTGATAAGATTGAGAAAATAAAATGAATACTAATAAAGTCTCATTATATTTAATTTACAAAGTAATTTACTGGAGTGTAATATAGCCAAAACTAAACCTTTTCAAACTCTACTGATTTCAACTGGGAAGAGACTACGTAATTTATGGAAACGCATCCCTACTGGCATTTAAAAAAAATCTTATTTTGCACTGGATTTAATAGTCAATGTAATTTGTATTATGTTCTTATATGTTGATTTGAACAAGCAATGTAAACAGCAATCCCACTCAGTTTCAAATAGTCAAACAAGTTTTTCTTTCTTTTCAGGTAAAAATCAGAAATTTAAGTTTGTTGGAAACTCAAACATTCAAATCAAAAACCTTTATTATGGTCATAGACCAGCATAAGGGGAGTGGGGTACAGCCTCATAAAAGCATTGCATGCAAACATTTACAACTGCATTTGTTTTTTTAATGTAACAGCTATAAAATTTAGGCCTCAATCCGCTTAGAACAATCATGGGGAAAATTTTCATATAGTTTAATAAAACATTGTTTACTTCTCTTCCCTACCCCTAGACAGTATAATTTGCTTACAGAATTGCAGGATTTCTCTCCCATTCGACTGCCATTTTCTTTTAAAGGTATTCCACCCTCCTTTTGCATAGAAATTAATAAAATGTACAACAGAAGAAAAGGCTGACTTGATTAGAGATCCTTCCAAGCCAGCTTTCTCACTTAGAAGTCATTTATACTAAATATACGTTCAAGGAAGTGAGAATGGGGCTATAATTGAAGTTACAGCCAATGGCTATCAGTTGTGAGCCTTAAACCCATCCAAAGGCAAACAGTTGAATTAAAATAGATTGTTTATGATATAATGGTTTTATAAACACTAACGTGTGGGTAGAATTTCACACACACACACACACACACACACACACACACAAGATGCCAACAATAAGTAATGATAATGGCCGAATGCATTACTGAATTAAATGACGTAATTGCAACATCTAGTTATAGTTCTTCAAACTAAATGTCTATCCATTCTTCCAAACCCTTTGATTTAATTCTATGGAAATATATCCACAAGGGTATTTTTTCTAGTTAAGTGTTGTTGTTTTTTACAATATCTTTTTTCTCTCTGAAAATTACATGTCACAGGTTTAGATCTGAACACATTTTGACCCTTCAAGAATATAATGTATGTGGATAGTTATCAGATGACTGATACATAACATTCCATTGGTTTGAGAGTAGGGAAAATGTAAAAGATCTCTCTCAATCCCTGGGATTTCAGTTACTAATGGAATAAACAGTACTGGCAGGAAGAAAATAACAAATAAACTAATTGCCCATACACTACAACAATGAAATTTTAGTTGATAATAATGAAAGTGATAATGATGAAAGCGACAGTGACATTTACAACCTATCTGTTTAAACAAACTACAGTTGGCGAATGTCAACATATACTTTTAGATATATAGATAGATAAATAAAACAATGTGTTTGACTGCAAACACCAAATGCATCATGGCCTGAGCAAATGGGTTTGCTTTGTCATTTTTTGAAAAAAGAAGTTCTAGTGCACTGCAAGATCAAGTTAGTGACAGCCATTGAACAGACAGGTATGCAGATGTAACACACTTAGAACAATCCAGCAGTATGCCAAATCAAAAGAAAAAGAATAAAAAGGAAAAAGAGGGCACAAAAATTCAAATGCCAAAGATAATGAAATAAGGTGTTAATCCATGCAAATGTGCAGATAACCAAAAAATGAAGGTTAAAATAAGTGGGGGAAAAAGCTACCATACATTTTTTTGGGGCCAGCCAGGTTTACTCACATGTTCAGTAGTATCATCATATTCCCACTAATTGAGAGTAAAGTATGTTGGAAAGAAAAAAGAGAAGAAATAAGGAAATACTTGTAGCCTAGTTGAAGAAATTTTGTTACTCAGGAAAAAATGAACGCTCATAAGCAACATCAGCCTGAATTTGAAAAGAAAAAAAAAATCAGCTTTCTTACACCAGGATTTCAGATTTCCAACTCTTCATTTCTTGCTAAACTTATCCATAAATAGCACACTACACTTCATCAAGGAAAGTACAAAGACCTTAGTCTGGAGTGTTATTTCACAGTAATGTTTTATGGCTGCATTAATCTGAACTGCAGAGACGTAATGAAAGGCTACATTTTCTTTAATCACATGCTACTAAGCCATATTCATTTTCATTTCTATTTTACCCTGTCAAAATTAATTCAGTGCACCTGTTTAGATTAATAGAGGCAATTTATATGTACTTGAGTCTTCATATCAGTAATGAAACTGTATGACCAACAGCATACACTTGCCACTCCTTCTCTCACTTAGAAAATGGGACCTGAGTTGCAAAAGAGGCAGTTTCCTTGAAAGTGTGTCTCCCCGTATGTGCATTTGTGTGAGAGAGAACATGCTTCAAAAGGGCAAACTTATAATTCTCTTTTTTATACCTTCAAATTGACAATGAACAAAAAGTGGTAACAGTTTGTTTTCACTCATTTTAGAAGCACTGACAGGGAACAAAAATCATGTGCAGCAATTCCTCAATATGTTTATCAACAAAACAATGGGAGTTCAAATTTTCACGTAATATTAAACAGGGAGGGAGAAGACGAGAGGTGATTTGTCTTTCCCCTCCTTGCTCCTGCATCATTCCGGCACCCTGGCTGACATCACTCCAAGTGATGAACAACTGTCACTGGCTATATCGTGTCTGGAGACTTCTGATGGCAGTGAACCAGGTTCAGCACTACTGGACAATCAGAAATACATTCCACCTCTGCAGCAGCCAAGGGACTGGCAATCTAAACCATCCTGGGGTTGATCCAGATCAGTCCCATGACAAGAGGTCAGTGTAGAACTATCTTTAGTTTCAGAAGAACACATCAACTACTTCCTCTGAATACATTTCACCAAGAAACACCCAAGACATGTTCACTGTATGTTAGAAACCACTTGAAGACATACAACAAATGAAAGTTGTCTATTAACATGTTTTCATCCAGAATTATTTTGAATTTAAGACACTTGTAGGCTTTATAGTCTATTATAATAGTAGAATGAAGTCAATTCCCAAGCACATAGATCATGTTAACTAATAAAAATTATTTCCTGTAAATAAATCTATTCGTCCAGAACACAGATTTTCTATCAATTATAATTCATAAGAAGGAATGTTTCACAGTGCCAGCTTATTACACTAGGAGTACCCATAGTAATATTTAAACCAGTTATCACATTTTATTAGATCAGTTCCTAAAATTTAAATCAAATTCCGATATGCTGAAAATAAACATTACATTCTAAAATATACTTAGCTCTAGCCTAGCTAGCTAGTTACCTATTGCTCATAAAGATGACAAACTGGTTTAATTAAATGAGAAGATTTAATCAAATGTGTAACCCTTCCTTTGAAACTGGAGTATGTCACATCAAAATAAAACATGAAAAGTTAACTCATGTATTCTCATACACCTTATTTATAGTGCATGAAATATGAAGTACAATAATGTAAGTACAGTCAATACAATCGATGTTCCAAACCCAAAAGACTGACGCATAGACAGGATATGGTAGTAAATTACTATTTGGTTCAGAAAGATTTAGGGCTCTACTAGCAATAAATTATTGGAAAATAAAGGAATCATTTCAATTTACTATCAAAAACAAGTACTGCACACACCTGTGTATAGACCAACCTCATGAGTAAGTTAAGGGCAGATTTGGGAGCCAAATTTAAGATTTTGTTATGACCTTATGGGTAGGTTGGGGACAAAACTTTATGGCTCAGCATAGACCTCCTTTTATCCATTCTGCAGAGAGGTGAAATCACTTGTGCAACCACAGAGGATATGCTGCTGCCATTTTCTACCTAAGTATTCAAAAGACTTTTTATCACTCTACTCAAAGAACAGGATGTAAGGTACAGTATTAACTCTTGAAAGAAACGAAAAAGAAGAACCACTCCTTTCTCTAAGCAGAGCAGTGAAGGATGAGAGTTTAATCTATCCCTTTAGAATCTAAAAGAACCACAGACCCCTTCTATTCTCTCTGCTAAAAGCCATTCCAGGCCTATTTAAATGCCCGGGCAGGAAATTGTGGCAGTGGCATCTCTTTGGCACTTCCCCTAAAAGAAGCATTGAGAGAATAGAGGGGTTCAGTGCTTATCTTCGGTTATGGACTAAACTCTCACATTTCACCATTTTACAGTAATTCCTCCTCGTTTGCAGGTTAAACTCGTGAGGTTGACAAATAGTCCAGAGAAGAGAAGGAGCCAGAAAGGATGGACTGCATAGCAGGAAGAGATTAAGGGCAGTGGGATGGAGCTGTGGTAGCTGCTCTTAACACTGCTGCCTTGGTTTAATAGGGGCCACCACAGTGAAGGGTTTGTGGTTGTTACCACAGTGAAGGGTTTGTGGTTGTTGCCTGCCACCTGGGCCATCCCTTCTTGCAGTGGAAAGGGTGAAGCCAGCTGCTGATGATGCAGTTCAAGAAGAACAGAAGGCAATGCTGAAGCTGCTACTTGCAACTGGGGCAAATGCTTGAGGGAAGTAGGCAGGCAGATAGGCAAGTAGACTGATCCTTTTCTGGCTCAGGCTCTTGCCACCTCTGCCTCCTTAAACAAGGAATTCCCCAAATTGTCCTTAGTTACTGTTGTTATTCACTTCGGTAAATAACCGAAGTGAATAACGCTGGTGGTGCAGGAGCTGGTACTAACCACTTACTATTGCCTTCAACTGGCCTTCCTGTCTTGCCAGCTGATGGGCCTGAAAACGGGCTCTGTTCCAGTCATCTCTATGGATCTGGGGCAGGAGAGAAGGCTGATTTCTCTTGTCTTTTGCCTGGATTCTCTAGATCCTCTTTACTGCTGAACTTCCCATCGTTGCTTGTGGGCTGGCTATGGACAACTGAGTCCAGGTGGCTGAGTGGAGAAGAGGATCTGGACAATTCAGGCAAAAAATGAGAAGCCAGCCACACTTTCAGTCATAGCAAAAGGATCGTCAACTCATTTTTTTTCCATTGGGAAGGTAAGGGCAGGGAGGAGACAAGCTTGACAAGGATCTCTCTGCTGTGGTTTAAGGACTTGCTGGTTTTGTCTCTTTTGCCTGACTTTTTCAGGTCCTTGCTTGCAAGCTGGCTATGGACAATCAAGGCCAGGTGGTTAGGCAGTGAAGAGCATCTGAAATCAAGCAAAAAATCAAGAAACCAATTGCTCCTCCAGTTATGGTAGAAGGATCCTCAGTCTGCTTGTCTCAGAGAAGGTGGAGAGGAAGAGAGGAGAGATGATGGAGGAGCAGCTGATATCTTTTGCTTGCCTTTTCTGGATCCTCTTTGCTATTCAGTGTTATTTGCAACCAGTATATGAACAATTAGGTTGCAAAGAGGAACTGAAGATGGCTGGGAAAAGATGAGAAACCATCTGCTTCTCTGGTTGTGGCAGAGGGATCCAGAGAGGAGAATGACTGGGATGGGGCCCATTTCAAGTCAACCATATGGTGAGGTAAGAATGGTGATTGAGGGATCCTTTTCTGGATCCTCTTTGCTATTCAGTGTTACTTGCAACCAGTATATGAACAGTTAGGTTGCAAAGAGGAACTGGAGATGGCTGGGAAAAGATGAGAAACCATCTGCTTCTCTGGTTGTGGCAGAGGGATCCAGAGAGGGGAATGACTGGGATGGGGCCCATTTTCAAGCCAACCATATGGTGAGGTAGGAATGGTGATTGAGGGCCAAAGGAAGCAAGAATTCAGTACTGCCCCTGTACTTCCAGGTGATATTTTTCCCGCACAGAAGTTGTGAAAAAAGATGTGGGTGGGACGAAAGAACATTCTGTGAGGGTAGGCAGTAGGAGAGCATACCATAAAAGAAAGACTGAGCCCCTCTGTTCTTAGTGACACAACTAATCGTGTTGGAACATCTCTTAAATTGTTCCTAGTCAGATGACAGTTTACTGCAAAAGAAGTAGTAGTCACCTCTGCAAACTTCATCATGTACGGGAAGGGTCTAAGAGCCACAATTTTAAGCAGATGTAATAAATAGCCAGAAGCAGTAGACAGAGTAGACACAGTAGAAGGAGGTACTAAACTGACCCATTATAAATAATCCTAGGATTTTTTGTTGTTGATATTTTGGCATAAATATCTTGATCTATATACAAGAATATACAATTGTGATAGCAATATGTTTCTCTTTGTTATTTAAATATATAGAATGTTAACCATTACCTGTGCATCGGCCAACATGATATCCTTCAGCATGGGCTGTCCCCTAGGCTCTCCATTTTCCATTTTCACATAATGCACCTGGTATCCTCGAATTTGACCATGCTGCTTATTGGGCACTGGTGAACGCCATGACACTTTAACAGATGTAGAGTTGACAGCCTCCACCTCGACTTTGCGAGGAGGACCACTAGGAACTGGAACACATCAGTGGATAAAAGAAGAATTACAGGCACTTGTCCTAACCAAGCAATGTCTTTTTCTTTCTTTTCTTTTAAAAGGGCAGACCCACTAAGCCTTCTCCTTGAAGAATACAAATGAAAACAAATCTGCTCTACATTTGAGTGAAAAGATCAAAAACCATGACTGATGCAAAAATGGAAGAAAAAAGAGTATTAGAGAATAGAAAAAACATGTAAAAATGTACAAAAGCCAAGGAAGATGCTTTGAGACTCAAAGCATTGAAGTACAAAGAAGTATTTTAGGAATCAAAATAATAAAAAACCAAAAAGACTCTTAAAATGTTGTTTGTTTTCTGATTTTTTTAGAGTGGGGGAAAAAGGCAATGGCAACTCTGCTGATATCTTCAGTGTTCAGATAGGAAATATTCAGTGTCCAAAATATTGTAAAAAGTGCAGAGCATCAGTTTTCCAAAATAGATATACATACATTAGAACAAAACTGGAGAATTTTTAAAAGTAAGAAAAAAAATGTAAAATATTTCCAGAGGGTTTTTTTGCCCGGGGGGGGGGGGGGGGGGGGGGGTGTGTGCAAAAAAACAGAAAAATATGTTTCTAAAGAATATCACTTTAACATGTGATAGAGTGGGGTCACAAGAAGATAAATGTACAAAAATGTACAAAAAATGCAAAAACAGCATTTTGCGTCCAAAATATTTGGAGATACTGATTTGGGGAAAAGATGAGCAGAAGGAAAAAAGGAACACTCTTAATCATACAAAGACAGTAGATTGAGAGAGTCAAACTGATATGTTGGAGGAAACATACCATCTTCATCTGTCCGAATCAATACAGATTCACTCTCTGGGCCAGGTCCGACATCAGTGTGGGCTGTCACAGAAATCCGATATTCAGTCCATTTTTCCAACTGTTCCAAAAGGTACTGTGTAGTGTCCGAAGCAATTCCCAAAATTTCATGGGGCTTGTCCTCTTCTCCATCAATTCCAGTGTACTTGATGGAGTAGGCAGTGATAATTCCATTCTGTTTTTCCACTGGAGGAGGCTGCCAACTTACCAAAATACTAGTGGAGCTGGGGCTGTTGCAACTAATGTCTTGAGGAGGAGCTGATGGCTCTAATTTCAGTAGTGGGTTAAAGGAGGATTTGAGTGAAAGGACAGAAGTGGTTGAAGAAGAAAATGAACAAAAGGAAAAAATAAATAACAAAGGGCAAACCAAGGAAAAATAAAAATCACAACTTAAAAGCAGAAACCAGACAATCATATGAGCCTTGGCTTATTAAAGTGAACCAACAAAAAATGAATTAACTAAAAGGTGAAAGGAATGTGGGGGGAAATACATGAAAATGAGCCTCAATTTATCGTTACCTACCTGGGATTAACAATTCTTCTTGAAATAAAAACATCAAACATGATACTTCTATGTATGAACTGCACTCTTAACTTTAATTAGTTTGCTTGGTTCACACTCCCGATTTTAAAAGCCAACAATACTTATCTTCCCTGACACAATGGCCAGTCTTGCATCACTATACAAAATATTACTTTGATTGTATAACATATTAACGATGTGCTATTTAATGGAACAGAATTGACGTCCATGTTTAAATTCAAGGAACTTCAAATTTAATATCAAAATTATCAACACATACTACTTGAATCTCTCAACCAAGTTGAATCTTTTCAACCAAGTTTGTCTGAGTGAAGTGAGCTACAATTACTGTTTAAATTAAACACATTTACTTAAACATTGGTTGCAGCCAACACAATGTAAAACATGCAGAACCAATAAGGAGAGTAGGCTTATCTTATTTAAAGATTTACCTACCATGAACAAGGACAGGGCTGATGATTCTGACTGTAACTGGTACTTACCCTGCATCCGGACTCTCTTTTATATTTTAGTTCCTCTCGGAGAAACCTTGGCTAGCAAAGAATTAAAGTCTAGCAGCGATTTCGTAACATACATACATACACCTTTTCCCCACCGCTTAATGTACAAACAGCAATATTGACTAGCAATTTTAAAAATATTTCTAACTACATATTATAATTCATTTAACCAACTTCGTATTCATTGCCAGACCCAACGCCCAAACGTTTGCCTACTAATACATAAAAAAATATGTTTAAAATCTCTCTGGATTACTAATTTTTAAACTAATAGTATTACTGAGTTCCTACCAGTAGTCATGACTGAATTTATTTCTTTTAATCTTATTATTTTTTCTGATCCTACCTCCACTATTTATAATTCCCGTTGGTTTCAATGTCAGACCCCTTTTTTTCTAGGATGCCAGCTAGGGCTGTAAACAAGTAATAGTTGGACCAAAGATGAATGAATTGACCATGAGAAACAACTGGGGGAAAATGGCTTCTATGCAAACTTGTTTCTCAAAATCACTGTTTGTTCAGTATGTTTGCTTGAGAGAGAAACAATCTGCCTAGTTTCTAAAAATTATCTACAGACACTGTTTAACTATTGTCTATCATAGCCATGGCCCCAGATAGTTATGGCAAGCTACTTTGAATTTCCAATGATTCAAAAAGCAGCTATATTTTAAAAAAGATGTTGGGAGGATCCCACTAAAATTCACAATTTTACCTTCTGCTCAAAATGGTATTTACCACCAAATATTATCTAGTGAATTCAAACAATGCTGAATACCATCCTGTTTTAATACTTTAAAGCATTACCTAACTACCTATTTCAGTTAACATTTCTTTATATACTTGCAGTTACAAAGAATATTATCTCACTTGCTTGTCAAACAGGTGGTCAACTAGCATAAGAAAAAAGTAATGATGGAATCAAGGAGAGACACCTACTTGACTGCATGGTTCTAGCTGAGATTTCTGTTGTTGATGCACCAAGACCTTGAGGAGAACGTGCTGACAGACGGAAGTAATACAAACTATTTGGTTTTAGGCCTTGTAAGTGGTAAGATGTAGCTGGATCAATAGAAATTCGCTGCTAAATAGAAAAGTACAAAAAAAACCAAAACAAAAAGAAAATGACTTCACAGTCACTTTTGTTTAGAAACCATTTATAACACTCAATCCTAAAAGTCCTATTTAAGAAACGAGACCAATCCAAATTGCATAGCAAGCAGATGAAGAAGACTAGAAACTATACATATAGCCACCTTTTCATCAGTCAGTTATTTTCTGTGAAAGCTTCTCGTACGTGAACCAACTTCACTGAAATTCACCATGGAAGACAAACACTCCTTTTTAGTGAATGATGCCACCATAGTGAGTCTCCATGTAATGTGATCTACTTACAAAGGTTTTTAAATTGTTTTGTCACTTTATGAAATGATCACATCCTTGATGTTTTGTAGCCTTTCATGGTAGCCTTAACCTGAAGACTGTCTTTTTCACTGATTTCAATAGGCATTATTTTCAACAACACATTTTTCCTTATAACTAGCTATTGAAATAACCCAGGGTGAATCTGTACTATAGAAATAATACAGTCTGACACCATTTTAACTGCCATGGCTAAGGAATTCTGGGGTTTGTAGTTTAGTGGACACCAGTATTATTTCACAAAAAAGGCTAAACAATTCCCACAATTCCCTAGCATTGAGACATGGCGGGAGTTAAAGTGGTGTCAAGCTACATTATTTGTAATGTGTAATTCCACCCATAGTAGAATATAGCTAGCAATAACAAATTGACCTAAGCAATGAAACAATGGGATAAGATACCAATAGACAGATGACTGTGCCTTTGTGTGTGTGAAAGAAAAAAAAAAGAAAGAAATGCTGGTAGGTACTTTAAAGTCATCACAACAATGCATCAACAGTTTATGTATAGTTCCAATGTACAATTATACTTTTATTTCTACAGGGTATCAAGAGGGCCATTTCTGGGAGCAATTATGAGTGGATAAGTGAAAATTTACACTGTATTGTGCTGACAGTATAAATATTACCGAAGACCAGACTATATGGAGGCAAAGAAATTCAGTCTCTCATAAATGTAGATATCTTTATTTTTAAAAATTGTTTTCATTATTTTATTGATGTGTGGAGTGCCACTACAAAGACTGATATAATTGAGAGAACTGCAATTCTTAGGCTGTATTTTGATCCACTTTGCATTACTGTCTAGGAGGGCTTAGGATATTTTTTATGATCCTATTTTTTTCAGACAACTGAATATGCTTTAAAATAAAGACGTATTGAAAATAATAGCAATTATCACAACAATTAAATATAAATTACTTTGATTATAAAGTAGTATTTCCTATATGAGAAAGTAATAAATATTTGAAAGGGGGAAAATCTAGCATACACAGACACAAAGCCCATAAAATGTAATCAGGTACCAGCACCTCCTTTTTTCTGCTATTTATTTATTTAGCAGTTTTGTATACYGGTCTTCTCACCTCTGTCAAGGGATTCAGGCCAGTTTCCAACAATAATATCACMAACAGTCATTAAAAACATTATATTACATATTAAGCTAAAACATTAAAATAGCAATGCAATCAAATAATTACAATGGTCAGTCGTCACAATAAAATCGTTGTTCGTCATTCGTCATCATCCATCCATATCACAGAATATTGACTCACTCGTCGAATGCCAATTTCCACAGCCAAGTTTTCACCTGTTTCCTGAAYGTCAAGATAGAGGGGGCATTTCTGATCTCCAGTGGGAGAGAGTTCCAGAGCTGAGGGGCCACCACCAAGAAGGCCCTGTCCCTCGTCCCCACCAGACGCGCTTGTGAGGCCGGTGGGACCGAGAGCAGGGCCCCTCCAGACGATCTTAAAAATCTAGATGGTTCATAGGGGAGAATACGTTYGGACAGGTAAGTTGGGCCAGAGTCRTTTAGGGCTTTATACAGTTTGGACAGGTAAGTTGGGCCAGAGTCGTTTAGGCACTTTGAATTGTGCTCGGAAGCTAATTGGCAGCCCGTGGAGCTGGTGCAACAGAGGAGTAGTATGCTCCCTGTACCCCGCCCGTGTTAGTATTCTGGCTGCCGCTCGTTGGACTAGTTGGAGCTTCCGGGCAGTCTTCAGAGGCAACCCCACGGAGAGAGCGTTGCAGTAATCTAAACAGGATGTAACCAAAGCGTGGACCACCGTGGCTATTCAACACACTAGTTGGCATCATCACTACCATAGTTAAAGAGGAACTTCATTTAAAATTGGTATCAAATGTTATAAAGTTAAACTGGAAATTGAGAGGGTGATGGAAAAATAGAAGATTTCACACATTCTTATGTTCTAAAACCAGGATGTAGCATTTGACCCAGCTCATTCTCTGCCCTCACAACAACCCCTTAAACCAGTGCTAAGTTTACTATAATAAAAGCAGAAACACATCCCTCCTGGACACTTTGCTTTTACATTTGTTGATACAGTGGCAAAAAACATTAGTACTTTCCCTCCAAAATTGTTACATCCATCAGGGAAATAACCCTCAATGCATTAAAGAAATGGCTGACAATGGAGCAGCCTAATCTGCATAAATTCCCCTTCCTTACCCCAGCGTTAAGAACTGAAATAGTCAAATTCCATTGCCTTGGCAGAAAATCTAAACAGATACTATGTACTACTCCACTCTCATAGTTATTGTACATTTCTTTAAAAGTTAAATGCAAATTAGCAGATCTTGCAATAGCGGCAAAATATTTACAGAAGGTGGGGCATTGGTTGACCTACCTCTTCACCATGCTCTCCATCTTTGAAAACAAGATCATAGTTGGAGATTGTGTCAGACCGTGGCGGGGTCCAAGAAAGCAATATGCTTGTTTCAGATTCAGGTTCAGCTTTGAAGTTCAGTGGCTGTCCAGGTACTAAAGCAAAAACACATAATGTCATCAAATATTGTTTAATTTATTTATGACACACACACACACACACAAGATTTGTCCTTATATTCATGACGTATAGATGACACATTTGAAAAATATATTTTAGCTGAATTTCCAGCAATTGAAAAAACTAGTGCCATATCCTTTCCAGTAAAATAAAAATAAAATAAAATAAAATTCCTAGAGTGTATTGTTGCCAATTTGTGTACAGTTACTAGCTTAGTGACAGAACTAATCATTAATTTCCCAATGGTTCAACTTGCTTCAAATGGGAGGTATAACTGTGGAAAAAGTGACATTATTGTGGCATAAGCAACATGAGTATTGTTTTTCAACTCAAATGTATTTCCATATGACATATGCCTTAATCCACATAGATATAAGAAGGAATTTAAGTTACCAGTGCATTCTGAAGGTATCAAGGAAAATGAGAAAGAACATGTGTAACTCATAGCAGGTTTCAAGGTAGGTTTGTAGTGGCTTCTTTGACATTGATGGACCAAACAATATTGTAAAAAAGCATGAAAGCAAAGCAGTATTTATGTCTCTCTCATACATACAGCAACTGAACATTATGAGGAAGGGGACACATTGATACTTTACACACTACTAGATTCAATGGATTGTTTTATACATTAACTGTCTTACACTATAACATTTCTCTACCTCTTAAAAGTGCATGCTATATTAATATATGTGAAAAAATGTAGAAGGAAGATTTTTTATTATAGTAGTACCCTGAATCTGTGGGGATACATTCCCAGAATTCCCATGGACATGTTTGTATCAGGCACTTCCACGGATATGTGGAAATTGTGGGTAACAATGTTTAATGCTTTCTCTCTCTCTCTCTCTTGTTGTGTAGTTGTAGATATCGGCAGCCTCCCACTTAATACCCCAAAGAAAACAAAACAAACACCATGTTGGGTAATTAAAAAGGCCACAACTTTATTTGGTTACCGCTTATCAGGATTGGCACACAAGTGGGTCAAGGATCCCCCCCCCCATGACCTGTTTTACCTTTGGGATGATGTTGAGACAGCCGCTGGGACACCCCAGGCCTCACTTCAGAACTATCATGTTATGATGCACTACACTGCATGGGTAGATCTGGCCAAACTACATTTGTAGGCCAGGTCCCCCCAGCCCCTTGAGAACGCTTATCCACTGCCAGTGCTGAATTTCACTGGTGCATAACTGGATCCCTGATTCATTGAGCGTGGAGGCAAGCGGCTCCATTCCTCTGTCTTCCCATCTCCTTTCCACAGGCCTCCACTCCCAATGACAGTAAGCAGGATAGAGAGAAAGAGAGTGCAAAACAGCATACACACACACATAGAAAGAGGGTCCAAACAGTTCCTGTGCTCTCTGAGCCCCACTGCCTTGTGAACTTCTCCTTTCAAAACAAATCCAGGTGAGAACAGACAGCGTGCCTGGGCTAGCAGTGGGGAGTGGAGGCAACAATATGAAATGAAGATTTGGGAGATGGAGGCAGGTAAGTGGTTGGGCTGGCTAGAACAGCTGGCTTTCCTCTCGCTCTCAGTCACACTTCCTGATTTTCTTCACTTATGTAAAAAAGCCCTTGAATCTAGAATACCCACAACTGCAAGACACAACTTTTTTTAAGCCTCAAGTTTGGGGGGGGGGAGTGCATCCAGGATTCAGTGTAACGTGCTATTATAATTCCTTGGAAAATATGATATCACAAAATTATTACAAAGGGAAACCTGCAGTATAAATCTTATGAACCTTTTGAAGAATGGAGTACAGTTCTTCATTTTCACTGTTTTGGATTTTTTTTTAAAAGTAACTTTTTGTCCTCAACATTGTAATCATAAAAGTTCATACTATATTCATATATGAAAAAGTAGCAGGGATGTAGTTATTATAGTACTATCATGAATCCTAAATTTTGACAATATAGCTCACTGATGTACATAAGTGCAAATTCATAAGTAATCTGAATTACATTTCTAGGAATATTTTCAACATTTTACATTATTGTCTTAGAATATTTCTTAATTCAGAGCTTCGGGGCAGGTTCATGACATGTTTTTAATTGGATAACTGTCCAGAGGAAGCATTTAACTTCCATGATTCAGATAAGAAAGAGGAGAAAGACGTCTTGAATACGTATGTAAAGAAATCTATCTATTTGGAAGTCAGACTAAATATATGCAGAAACAAAAATGAGAAAACAAGCAATGATGTCAATGGAAACTGAATAAATAGAGCACCACCTTGAGATTGAATTTTCTGGAAAAATCTTCTTAAAAAACAGGAACACTAATGGTAGTAGTTAATACAGTTTTAGACTATTAACAGTATAAACCTTTAAAGGCACACACACAAAAATACTATTTAATAAAAGAAAGAGTCCTAAACCAATTCATCAAATAACGTTATGTACTTCAGTAATAACTTCTAAATATTGTTTTAAATATAGACGGATTATTTACATCTGTTTCATCTTACTACTTTGAACAATCCCCAATGCCCACTATTAGTCAACAGAAGCCACTTAAAGTTCCATCTTACCTCCTGTCTGAGTAATGACTTGGATATCACTAGAAAGTGGTCCATCCCCAACTGAGGTAAAAGCAAGTACTTTTACAGAGTATGTTTTCTGTGGTATTAGATTCCCAATGGTGGTGATGTGGCTGTCAGCCACATTATGTTTCAACCAACTATTGACATGCTGAGAGGGGTCCATGGTGTAATAAACTCTATAACCTTGTATTTGGCCATTTGGCTCCTCAGGTTCCTCCCACTGCACCAAAATGGTGGTTGAGCTCAACATACGAGCTTGTACATTCCGTGGTGCACTAGACGGTGCTTGTTCTGAGGTCCGTGTAGAAACAGGTTCACTAGGAGGACCCCTTCCAATGTTATTGACAGCAACCACTCTGAATTCATATTCAGAATATGGGCTTAAGCCAGCGACACTATATCGTGTTGTAGCTACTCCATCAATTTCTTTATACAGTTCCTCAGAGTTTTTAGGTTTATGTTGGATTATGTAGTAAGATACGGGCTCAGGGTTTCCAGAATCCCAAGTCAAAGTAATGCTTGTTGCTGTGGTTTCTGTCACAACAGGAGTTCCTGGAGGTTTGGGTAAGGCTAGAAAAAATGTAATAAAATTGATTCAGTCGACACGAAATTAAAATATAGCATCCTTGCTAATCAAACAAAGAGGAATAGTGTGATACTTTAAAAATAAGACAGAAAATTAAAGTTGATTTCATGAGGTAGTTATATCTGGAAAGCGAAACCCTGCCTTTTGCTCAGTTCTCATCAGACAAACCATAGAAAAGCATTATAAAAAGACACTTTGCTATAACACGACAACTTAATTTTGCTTGAGTGCTTTAATGGATGAAATTTAATGAAATATCAGTATTTAGGCTGGAAACTGGAAGCACTAGAATAAGCAATTTCACAGTTAATTATAAAGTTGAAGTCTTTTGCAAAAATTGGGGGAAAGTTTAAAAAAACAGGTTTTTATAGACATCAACCTCTCCATAAATAATTACTGTATTTTATTCAAATGTAACACGCATCTTTTTTTGGCTAAATTGCTTATTCAAAATAAAAGTGTGCATTACATTTAATGTCACATTACAATTGTGTGCCAAAACCGTGCCTATGCCCCTTCGTCAGGCTAAGACTAGCAAACTCCTTGGCCTGATGAAGAAGCGGCAGCTTCTCAACTAGCCTTATTCAGACCCTGAAGGATGTCAGTTGGGAAGCTGCACGCCTCCACCATGCCGACACAGGTGAGTTCACCAGTCTCAGCATCGGGGGGGGGGGGCACTATTTCCCTCCCAGTCAGCTTCTCCCTCTCTCTCAGCTGGGAGATGGAGAAAGCCTCCCTCCCTTCCCAACTGACTTCTCCCTCTCTTTCAGCACCATTTCCCTTCGCCTACTCCTTCCTCTTTCAGCTGAGAGATGAAGGAAAAAGCCCCTTCTTTTAAAACATCTTCTTCCTCTCTCTCAGATGAGAGAAGAAGGAGAAACCTCCTCCAAGGCTGCAAGTGGAAGGGCACAGCTTCACAATCCATTTTTTTTTGTAATGTGCACCTCAAAATTGAGGTGAGCATTAGAATTGATGGTGCACTACACTCAAGTAAATACAGATATGTCACATCTGAGTTGAAAGAAGACAAAAAAAACCAAAACAACCAAAAACTGGTGCCTGTGCTACCATATGAAATAGATAAAAATAATCTGAGGGAAAAACTGTTTTACTTTGCTTTTCCTATAATCTGATGTGGCGTGTTTTCTCTATATTTCGAATGCACACTTGAAATTTACTGCATTTTCTAAAACAATTTCAACAATATATGTACTAGCAACTGGTGATATGTTTGATGTGCAATTGATATTGAGAGGAATTTTTGTAGATTCCAGTAATCTTGTTGGAGTTTTTAATTGCCTTATGTTATTGATCACACTTTCTTTGCTCTTACTCCCAATATTACTCTTACTCAATATTGACCTTACTCAATACATAAAAAGTATCAGCCATACGGGTAATGCATGAATGAGTATGAGCAATGTTCAGGATATAAAACTGTGTTATATCCTTATATTCATGTGTTAAGCAAAATAGTCAGAGGAGCAATACATGAGTAATTTCCAATGCATAGTGATTTCTTTCTAGACATCTGTTGGAAAAAAGGTGTAGTATAACAAAGCAATACTAAAAATGGAGCCAAAAGCAACCCCCCCCCCCATCAGCACATACATGCTCTTATGTATAACATATAACTGGGCTATGACTTTCAAAACTTATCATGGGAACAGTCATGCATAAAATTCCTAGAGAATTACATCCAATTTTTTTAATTACTTGCACTGAAAATTAACCTGGTAGCAATCTGTCTCTAAAACAAGGCAACTGATTGTGAGGAGGCTCTAACACTGAGTGGGAAAGTCTGGTCCAGAGACTTCCACCTTTGCCAGTCTCTTTGGTTTCTTGTTAACCTTCTACATTTGGATATGAGACCTCAGGTTATACAGTAGAATTTTACAACTTTATCCTTAGACATCTCTAATTAAACTATAATCATTGCCAATTCTGTTTCCCACGGAGGAATGAAACATATCCACAGTGACACTACTGTAACTGTAAGATACGTGAAGGTAGCATTTCTTATATTTTTTTATTACTAATTTCACATTAATGTATTTCAAAATGAAATATGATTTCCTTATATTTTGTCCCGACTTCCATCACCTTTTACATTGTTACGATTGGGAAGTAGAACTCATTTGCTTGCCAGTCCACTGATGGGAGCACATGCTGAAAATCTGAGAAAAGCCTGAAGCAAATATGGCATGGAGAAATATTGCTAAGAAGAGGGAAACAATCATGCGGCACTAACAAAAATAAGCTACTGAAATAGTGGTTTCTAGAAATCCAGTCCATTGGGTTACCATATCAGAGTTTGTTTTTTAAAAAAATTAAGCACAAAACACACATGGTTCTGATTAGAGTCATCTTACCTTTTACAGTTATCTGAGCTATTGCTTCTATAACGCCAAGTGTAGACATGGCCACACAAGTATAATTGGCAGACTGCCTGACATCATTGAGCTCTAGGACATTTCGTCCAATTGGCATATCATCTTCTGGTGTCAGATCTTCAGCCCCAAGCATCCATTTCACATATGGCATTGGTGAACCGACAGCAACACAGGTGATATTGACACTCCCCCCAGGCATGATTTCATGGTTGGTGGGAGGAATTGAGAATCTTGGTGGGACCCGTCGAACTGTAACGAAGCACACAAAGAAGCTAATAACATATACAAAAATCGGGAATATAAAACTTGCACAGAAGTCTACATGCTTCTAAGACACAACTCACAGCAGTAATAGTTACGTTTAGTTGTCAAAATGTATGAGACACATATATCATCTGTATAATTTTTTTACAGTTACTCATCAAAATATTTTTAACCACATTCATACAACAGCTGTTCCAGACCTAATAGGGCCCTACAATTAACTAACTGCATACTACCAATACACAAACACCATGCAAAAGATACACACAAACACACACGCATATATATGCATGTATATTCTGTATGCATATGTATACATATATATGTACAGAAGAAAACTGGAGGATTGACAGCATGCTTGAGTTGAGTATCAAGACCAACTTCAATGCTGCACACTTCCAGCTGATGTGAAATAATGTGCTGCTAGACATTGTCACATCACAGCCCTGGAACACATTATCTACAATACACTGAAAATGCAATCTTATTTGCTTTCAGACTGAAAAAGTGGATGCAACCTCAAGACCTCACACTAACATTGAAACAAACATAGGATATATAAATATAAATATAAAGTCACAGGAGAAGAAACAAGACAAAGCCAGTATGAGTACTGGATTTGGTCATGCAGGCAAGCATATGGCAGAGTCTATAAGGAATCATGCTTAGCAGAGAATCATAGGAGAGGAAACTTTGTACAGGGAAACAGGGAAACAAAAAAAATAGGTGGGGGGAAAGGATTTTTTTTAAAAGCAACGTGAAGGTGAGATAGTTCAAAAGAAACAGGGATTTTGAAGGGTAGAACTGGTATTAGGAATATATTTGACTAGGCTAAAGATTGTTATGAAGGATTATATGGCGATGGGGAAGGAGCAGAACAATAACACATTCTAGGTTCCACAGTATTCACAAAGAAGAGAAAGCAAAATAAGCTGCTAAGATTAGTAATAATATTAAAGGCAGCTGTATGGTACAAAATGAACAACAATAAAATCTAAAACACAAAGCAGAAGGGCATTGCATTATAACAGAGATATTAATATTGAAGCAAACACAACACCAAGAAAATTACCAGGCAATAACAGATCAGTGTTCCTGCTTCAAATATTTTTTCTGTGTGTATGTCTGTGTGTCTGCACTCATGTGTATCAAGAAAGGAGAGGACAGAGATCTGTACTTAGGTCTTTCATTGAAAAATGTGCTTCTTTATTCCTGTAAGTGGGCTTTCAAAGAAAATGCTAGTATCAACTCTTTATATTTTCAGCACTTAAAAAAAATACACAGAAAGAGATATATAAATATGTGGATTTGGCCCCAACTGAGAAAATGTAATCCCTGTGGTCCACAGAAACCAACGAATGTGATGATGCTCACAGCTCTGTGGTCCACTAATTATGCTTTAAGCAAAAAATCTGTATCTGGATCGGGGACTGAGCAGACACAATAGATATTTCTTACTGGCAGCGTTTCAACTGAATTGAAAAAATGTATGTAGGTTCAATAGGGTTGTACTACGATGGCCTCATGGGTGAATGGGACAGGCATAGGGAGAACAAAGAGCAAAACATGCCTTTAGCAGCCAGCTGACGGAAGTCACACAAAGCAAGTGACGGGCAATACAAAATTTGTAATACCATAACAGTATTTTTTTTCCTTTGAAATAAATGGAAATAAATAAAAATAAAAACCATAGAGAGTTTGAGTCTTCATGCTTGGGCTGCCTGAAGGAGGAACTGCAGGAAGTCATTCTTGGGTCAGCAGGCACCAACAACAGAAATTAAAGGGAACTCAGACTGGAGTGGGGAAGGGGTAGGAGAAGCAGGAACACTGACCAAATTGACGTGGTCTTAAAAGTGTTAAGAGTGTTACAGGTTTGTCATGCATCCAGACTCTCTGCCTCTCTCATCATGCACAACAGTTAGATACCAGCACACACTAGAAGCCATGACCAGAGCATTCTCTGCTTAAACGTCACATTAACTAAAAAAAGAAAAAAAGGCCACAATGCAGCTACATTCATTTCATTTGTATTCTTTGTTATTGGTTTAATTAATAGTTTTGTAAGGTGGGTAAAAAAGTAAAAAACACACCAACCTTCTCGCAGCTCTGAGGGATGTAGGGGGTTTGATGCAGAACACAATGAAATGAGGAAAGGAGAAAAACAAGGGAAACACAGAGAGAGTAAAAAGGCCATATCAAGGCTTTCAACGGCTACTTGAACATCTTTTACTTGCTCTAATCAAACCTTCCTACCTCACCTCTGACTGTTAGCAATTTCTCATTACTATTACGGTGTTAGAAACTAGCATCATGGGAGGGAGGGAATCCCTTCAGGAAATAATGGCACACATGCCTCATGCAGTACAGTATTTTGAAAGGAAAAGACTTAAATCGCTTTCTAAGGAGGCCATAATAACCTTCACACTCTTTGTAACCAAAACACTAAATCATTACTATATATATATATAAAAATGTATATATATTTAATTGACACCTCTCACCCACACTAAAGTAATGAGCTAAAAGCTGTATGCGCTTTCTTTTAATTAGAAATGCTTTTTTAAAAGCCCTCTTTAGCTATCCAACCCACACTTTCACTTGCAGGCATCTAGGAATAGCCCTGTATATATTGGAAGCCATGCTCTTCTACAGAACAGTGCCAAGAGCCAGATGTTGGAAACTGTGTCAAAAAGGAAGTACCTTAAGTGTATAAAACCAAGCAGGAATGCTTCCAATTGTTTATAAAGCAACCATCCATGTTATTTTACAAGATCATACCTGCATGAATCTACCATCCTAACTCATACCCACTGCAAAGACAAGTCCACCTTCCACCCCACTCTACCCTCCCACTCTTAAAAAAACAAAACAAAACAAAAACAGCTAGTTCATTACAGCAGTGCCAGGGATTACATTTCACTGATAAGATTCCAATTTAAAAGAAATACATAGCTGTATGAAACTATGCTTAAAGAAAAATGAAAGGAAAGCTCCACCATTGTCTTCTTCATAGAGAATTTCCAAGCTAAGAACTTTTCCTTTGTGACTCAGTGGCAGAGGTCATGTAGGTACACACCTCTATACCCTGAGTTTCAATTAGAGGTGAATTAGTTTCACAGCAAGCAATCATGTTAGAAATTTAAACAAAACAAACCAGAGCAAGAAAGAAAAAGAGTAGAAAAACCCAAAATAAATGCAACGTTCAGGTCAGTAATCAATGCAAGAAAAGCAGAAGTTACGATGTACAAATGTAAGGAAGGATACTTACAAACCTTAAGTCACAGTGGCAGATAGGACTCAAAAGTGCCTTGATTTATATCATTTCTCCCCAAAATGTTGTTTCTCTAAACCTTTAAAACATTCCTTTTACTGATTTTTTTTTTGCCTCAGTACCTTTTGCACTACTGCAATTATGGTATATACCCTGAGAGTATCTTAATACCCCTTGAGCCTGAATGAAGAGTGGATGCCGGGGATATGTCATTCCTACCTCTGACATATAGATTAGCAGGGGCAGAATATCGTGTACCCGCACCGTTGGTTGCAACACACTCATATTTGCCTTGGTCAGATTCTTCACTCGATTCGATTTGGAGGGCACCTGTATGGATATAAAATACATTGCCAAAGACACTGTCAAAGTAGAATTTTCAAGCGCCTAACTACACACTGCTTAATAATAAAGAAAAGCCCTGTGAGCGAAGGTCCACTCAACGTCGGATCATTTTCTCGCTAAGGTAGCACAGACAAAAAAATGATGTGATGAAAAAAACAAAGAGATTATTTTTTTCACACCATCAATACTAGCACAGGAAAACAATCTGCATTTGTCAAACATTTCTCTACCACAATACTGTTTCTCCTAGACTATTAAAATGAAGATGGGTGAGACTGCTTCAAGGAAATATGGCTTTAAAATAAAACAAAGGAGATTAGGTCATTGGGTCATCACCATGTCGTTTATTCAATTTATTTTTATTTCTACGTTTGATAAAATAATACAAAATGTGGCACTTGTCAAAAAAAAGTGAGACGCTGGGTTTCAAGAAAGTCTCCTGCTGAAGAAGGTCAAAAATGTGCAGCAAGTACAAAAAAGGCTGCTTGAAGTGAAAAAAAGAAACAAATTAGTTATTTATAGTATTCAAAATATTCTTTCAAAGAAACAAAACTCCCTTAAAGACATGCAGATTGATAAGAAAAAGAAAGACATTTTGCCACAACTTACAATATTTTAGTGCATTTGCTGAAAAACAAGAGGAGTTGAATTAGAAGGCACAAAAAAGTTAAAAAGCATGGCCCAGGCCAATAAGGAAGAAGCAACCAACCACTGCTGAGGACCTCAAGGTGGCCCCCCTAAGACACCCATCAAAATCCACGACTGGGATTAGCAGTGTGGTGTCACAAAACCCAAGAAAAATGCAAAACAAGAATTACAAAAGACCTGAACAATTTTTAAATAAAACTATTAAAAACCAGAAATACCACATACCACCAAGAATACTGAATCATCAACCTTTCCATTTTGAGTGCCTGAAGATCAGAAGGATCCAAAAATCCCGGGAAGGGCAAATCCAAGAAAAAAATATTATAGTGTTGCTGTAATTTGTTAGGGAAAAGAATGTGGTTTGTTTTCTTAGATTTTATTTATGAAGTTGAAAGAAAAAAAATATATACATCATTGAACAAAAAAGAGGAAAAAAGAAACCCTTCTGAAAGACAAAGTTAAAAAGAAGATATTCCATGTTGTCTTCTGCATGTCTGCAACTGTTCTCCAGACCATCTTGGCTTGGTCCAAAACAAGAACAGCTAAGGAAGAAAAAATGATCTTTTTTTTTTTGCTCCAGTTGGACCAAAAAAAAGAAAGAAAGAAAAAAAAAGAAAAGAAAAAAGGTAGAAAAAGAAGAAGAAAAAAGAAAAAAGGGACAAATGGTACGCTGTGACTGGGTTGTGGCCTGTAGACCTGGATATGCTTTCTTTGAAGCATATCGCAGAGGAACGTATCTTTTTGAAAAAATAATGAATGAACAAACACAACTTTTTTTCTAATGAAAAGTGGAAGGGATTATGAGGAAAGAATCACAAGATGAAAATCACTGATTATAACTAAAAATGACAAAAATAAGAAATAATATGAAGAACATTTCTGTTATGTGTTTGTTTTTAAATGGCAATAATGAAAAAGATGGAAGGACAGAAAGAATAAGATCATTCTGTGAACGTTAGTTCAGCAATCTTACCTCTTATTGGTGTACCACCTGCGTGGATAATATGAATGCAAATAAGATTAGAAAGAAGAAGCATTAGTACGAGAAGAAGGAGGCTAGGGCTTTGGAAGAAGAATCAAATTAGAGTTACAGAATTAAATAGGTTTTAAAAGAAACTTGAATTGCGGTACTGTACAAAACAGGAATATATAGATATATAAATAAATATATTTCAGGTACAATGATTGTATAAAACAAAGTATTGGTGTACCAAAGTGGGCAAGGCCATCATTTGTGGGGGAGTGGATGGGGCAGGGAGGGGCAGGGCAGATCTGTCATTCATACAAAAGCTTAGGTGTCTTGTTTTATAAAGTTAAAATATAATGTATAGACCTAACATTCTTTAAAAAAACCCCTGTACAGCACTACATTTAATATATAGTTTTAAGAAGTGAAAATGTGCAACTATTTAAATCTATACAGATAGATGGATAGAAATAGAGAGATACGGATAGACAGAAATAGAGGGGGATAGAGAGGGAGGGAGGGAGGGAGGAAGAGAGAGAGGAGGGAAGGAAGGAGAGAGAGAGAGAGAGATACCTGAAGTTTTCTGAAAATACACACTTGTTTATACTGGACTCTTGTCATTTATTGTGCTGTAGCTAAGTGACACTTGTGTATTGTTTCTCCTAACTGAAGGTATCTAAGATTGACACATCGGCATTTTTGTGAAGGATTGTGTATGTGCACAGGTCCGGTAACTACACTGACTGTTAGTAAAATGCATGCCATGCATTTTAAGAATAATAACCATAATTATAATACCATAATCATAGTATTCTGTATATGAAAATTAGTGGGGGTGAAGTGCGCTTCAGAACTAAGCACTTACCAATAGATTCTGGAGATTTAAATACGGAGAGAAGAAAGACAGCATAAAAATATTATTATATTCCTTATAATTTGGTACAAAGTTTTCAAGTTAAAGCTTTATATACTAAATAGTCTATGCCACACGTGAAAATTATTCTAGGTTTTTTTTTTTTACATTAACAGAAGTTTAATCTATACAGTTCTTCTGACAACAAGCATAGAAGTTGATTAACAAGACGGCTTAACATAACAGGACAGGTCAGGTCAAAACGCTAAAAGTTCAGGGAAGACAGGTGATTTCAAAAGCGGATTCTATAGCAGTATAATTGCCCAAGTAAACAGCTTATTATACTTCCCACCCCCAGTATTATATTTTATATGGGATTAAGCTTAGTAAATTTAGAGTTATCTTATTATGAAGCTGCAGAGAGCATAAGGCAGGTGAAAGGATTACTGGGGGAAGTGAAACAGGGAAAGAGAAAGAGCAGCAAAAGCTGAACTCTACAACAAAAGCAGGCTTCTGTCGATCCGGCTACTATAAAATCGGTGAAGCTTTAGCAGGTATGCACACTATTGTGGCTAAATTCATTAGAAAATCTCAACCAATAAAGATATCTCCTTTTGTAGGCTAACCCAAAGGCTTATTTTGTTATTGCATGTTTATTTGTTTGCTTGTTTTTTGGTTAACACACGAGAAAAAAGTACTGTGTTTCATGTATTAGTGAAAGGAAAGAAGATGTGTCCACATTGGCTAATCTTTGGTTGGTTCAAGATGTTGAAAATAACTCACAAAACACAATTGTGATAGAATATATTTTAAGCATCAAATAATGAAAAATCGGGTTGGATGGATAAAACCATTGGTACTCCTTGTATGTTCTGAAGTCCAATGTTGATATAATTTTTAAAATAATAATAATAAGGATAGGAATTGAAGAGAAATGTATCTGTCAAATACTGCTGAAAAGCAGTAAAGAAAAGTTTAAAAAATATTAAAATTACAGTCACAGCAGTGAGCAATGTTGAATAAACAGAAGCTGCAAGTTACACACACGCTGGAAACAGGCTATGGCAATAACAAAGACATGGACAACACACTCAACAACATAAAAATAAGAAGAGATGAAATCATAACCTATAAAATAAAATAAAATAAATTAAACAAGAACAGAAAATAAACTGAAAAAAGAATCATTTTAGGCATTGCTGCAAACAGTAACAAGACCTTACCTGATCGTAATTGTTTGATGCGTCCATTGTTGCTTGTATCCACAGGTAAAAAATCTTTGAACCACGTTATTTCAGGATCGGGACTTCCGCTGGCTGCACATAGCATGGTGGCTGTTCGAGTGCGTTCAACCACCTTTAACTGTGGCCCCATATCAATGGTGGGGAAACCACGAGGAATTTGATCCTCTGAAAATAAATACATGTTACACTTAGTTATTCTTATAAAAATCACATTCATATCTCCTTTCTATGCAACCGCATTACAAGTTTGTTTTATATGAGAACCCAATTTGATTCATGTTTGTTCTTACTAAAGATGGACAAACCTGGGAATTTCATTTCCTTTAATGTTATTAAACTCATTACACTTCCTTTACACTTCAGAATGAAATTGCATTCAAAATGTGTTTTTTGGGAGAAGTATGAACACGTTTTTGGATGCAATGTTGTTCCAGATGCATCGCCTTTTTTCTCTATGTTACACAATTACATATACATATATGTATTTGCTCCTGTTTGCATGTATATGCATTTCTCTGTAATAATGTGCCATTCTGTATACAGTTCTTATGTGGAAAATTCCATAGTAAAACTTTAAAAACACCTGGATATCGAAAGAACATCGCAGGATTTGAAAATTGATTCAGATTATGTGCAATGTTTCAGGAAGTACAAGTTAGGTATGCTAATGTGAACCAAAAAAAGTTCTTTGCCATTTTGCTCCTCTCACACACAACAGTTTAAAGACACCATCTGAAAACAGAAAAAATGTGCATTATGCCTTTTAGTACAGAGAAAAAAAGATGGGGGGATTCTTGCACAAACCAGCGTTCATGCATCCTCATTTAGCAAATATATCCCATAACACCTGAACATTAAAACGCTACTCTCAGCTACTTAATTATATTTACATATATTATAAAATCAGTATTTTTCAGTTTGTGATGGTGATGTTATTGTTGTCAGCATAAACCAGAGAATTCCATCTTCAAAACAAGTATTTTTGACATCTCCTCACCCACTTACACAGAGATGCAAACACAAACGCACAAGCTCCCATTTTATTCCAAAGGGTCCCATTACCCACATACAGTTTTGCTCCTGTCTGCATTCACTGAAATGCAAATATTATCTGACTTCCAGATAAACATTTAAAGTACAGTAGCTTCACTTTCATAATTCAGACCTATATCTGTACGATGGAATATATGTTTTTTTTGTGTTCTTGTTTTTCTGAAATGGCAGACTCCAATTACATATCATGAACTTTGTTTTTAATTTATTCCATTCTGAAAATGAGATTTTCTCTCAAGTAAGAGGGGCTGGTGTGTGAGGCTCATGCCACCTCTGTTGATAATAAGGATTTCTACATCAAGGACTTAATCTGATTTAATAATTGTAAACAGAATGAGTAAAATCCTTGTCTATATAAGGTTGTGTTGTAATAATCTAAAAATCACATTCACTTATCCTTTACTGTAAAAAAATGTTACTGATTTTTGTTAAATATCAATACAACTATAGTTGTATTTTCTTCAAACAAAGAACAGGAAGAGAAAAAGATCAATAAGGACTGCAGAGTGCATGCTTTGTTATTAAATGTCTTTCTTGAAAAGCATTGACACACAATCCTTTAAGGAATAAAAATAATTCACTACAAATTGTCCAGTGTCAAATAAATTACTTCCTTTGCCAGGAAACAATGTGATTTTTCACATAGTTTCAGTACAGCTTTCAGAGGCATTAGAAAAACTCTGGGGGATATACTTGCATACCTGACAAATCTTTGCATTCCCTGGTGACGTCCTTTTCCCCAAGGCTACTTAATCACTGACAAAATGAATGTATATAAATATTGCTACAACCAGTGGTAGTCGCTAATCTTGAAAGTTAATGTCTTTTTTATCTTTCCGCGAAAGTCAGAAGTGTCAAAGGCTGATATTGTTAGGTCGTTTTCTATACAGTCTTACCAAAGAAACCTACATTTGATAACAACTTATAAGATGTGAAGCTTCTACCTTGGGAATTGCTGATAAGGTTTGACTTGTGCCAAGCCGAAGTAGTACTCTAATGCATCTGCATGACCTTTCCTTTTCCTTTGAGACTCACAAAAACACTCCTGAGGCTCCTCTTTCCACATAAACAAGTGCACAACACAGATAATCTATCTTACATGCTAATATGACTGAGTATATAAAGAGCCCCCTTTCTTATTTTTAATAAGGGTAATTAAATTCTATCCTTCCTTCTTCTGCACAGAACCTCTCCGGATACATACTCATCATTAAACTTTCATGAGAAACATCACAGTGTAAGAGTTTCATATAGTCAGAACAGTTATACTTTGACAGTCATGGCTTGTTTCCAATCTAGCTGTCAGGTATTTGGCAATAAAAGCCAGTATTCAACATAAAATGGACTAGAGGAAATAATGAAATTTGTAATTGGAATGCTTATCTCAGTGGGTGTAGTTTATAAGACGTTAATTGCTTTCTGTTCCACTTTAAATTTATTAGTTATTGCTATAAAATATGTCTTTCCAGTTTGAGGGTACGATATTTGACAGATCATCAAACAAGAAGAACAATCAGATCAATCAACAATTACACTGCAGACACATATTCTTTACAGAGAAAAGTGCTACTAATCAATACATTAGCAACGTTAAACATCTAAAAGAAATGAAAAAAATAAAAGATCTTGTCTTGATCATTAATGTGTGTGTTAATGCTATGATTAGGATTTTAACTGCAATGTCCACCAGTTTTCATTTTAATATCCAGTCATGCAGAATCAGCTAGTAATTCATCAACAACTTAAAATCAGATCTGACCTTCTCAGAACCATGTGAGACTGTCTGTTAAACAAGTCATTAAGGGGCAGATTACTTATGTCCTTGTGCTCAGAGAATCACACAAGTAACATACATAGCAAGGATTTGCCAACTCTACAACTTTATTAATATTCTATAATGTTCTTTCCTTTATATATCAAGTAACGTACTTAAAGGAAACTCATGATGTAATCCAGACGTGTCAAGTTGAAGGTCTGCATGGCAAATCTGGTTGCCATCTCATTTTATATGGCCCTCCAGATGCTGGACTACAACTCCTGTATTCCTCATCATTAGACATGGTAAACAGGGTATAATTGTGTGTGTGTATGTATATGTGTGTGTGTGTGTGTGTATATATATATCCCTCTGTATCAATGGCCCTTTGAAGGAAATCTATAAAGCTGATGTGGCCCCCAATAAAATTACTTTGATACATTCTGATCTAACTAAATTAAAATTAAAATAACCTATTAATGTAGTTCCCTGCCACGATACCTCCACCCTTTTTAAATAATGTAGAAATTATAAATATTATCCCCTTCACTTGTCATCATATCAACCTTGTGAAACAGGGTTCAGCAATCACTCTAAATGATCCAGGGACCCACTAAATAGGTCTCACCCTATAATTCTAAACACAACATTAGTTTGGCTTTCATCACATTGAGCGAATGAATTTATTTTTATTCTGCTCTCTCTCTCTATCAGGTGAAAGGTGAAATGGGAAATGTTAGTGAAAAACAAACCTAAGTTTTCTATTTCCTTAGGTTGGAAAGACTTACCTGTAATATAATTAGGATGCTGTTAAATGAAGGATAAAATAGATTTTGCCACAAATGAGGATTAGGACATGAGATTTTCTAACAGTTATTATATTTGTGACTGCAGTTTTGTTACTTCCTATTTCCACTTTCTTTTCTTATGGAAACTATTGCAGAAATGATTTTTTCCCCAAACCAGCAATAAGCATCTTTACTTAATGACACTTTTTCTCTCTACTATACCAATATCATTTGCAGGTTCATAAGAAGAGGATGAAATCATTACACTCGAGTAATTTGGTTTGCAGCAAAATACACAGGGTGGCATTCAGTCCTGGGTGCAAAAGGGAAAAGAGAGGGAAGAAGCACTTTCTGCTCTTTTGCCTTAGGGTCTACGTACAATGTGAAAGAAAGGATGGACAAAAATAGAATTTGGAGGTGGAATTCATTTGAATTTTCCCTGATAGATTCCTCCAAAGAAAATGGAGGAAAACTGTTTCCTTCAAAATCAGTACTTGTGGGGAGTAAAATGTGCTGGCCAAAGGCAAAGATAGTTCTGATACAAGTGGTGCAAATCAGCCAAAGATTTAAACAGACAGACATATTCTAAGGATGTACAAATGTACATGATCAAAGGAAATGCATTAAGTAATGGGAATTATGTGCTCTCTGGCCTGAACCTTTGATATTCAAAATGTAACCAGAACATTAAGCTTGTAAGAGGCAGCAGTAGTTTTCCCTGAACGAATAGACTGTCTTGTTTAGTAGTCTATAAACAGATCCTTGACTCCCATGATAAAGAATTGCGATGCATTCAACTAATTTAAAAAGCTGCTCAAATGAATCTTAAGTACTTAGAACGTCACTGAAGCTTCCTTCAAGTCAGCTGAAATTCTAGGTTTTTTTAAATTATTATTTCCGTGACAAGAGCAACTTGAGAAACTGCAAGTCCCTTCTGGTGTGAGAGAATTGGTTATCTGCAAGGACGTTGCCCAGGGGACACTCTAATGTTTTGATGTTTCACTATCCTTGTGAGAGACTTCTCTTATGTCCCCGCATGGGGAGCTGGAGCTGCCAGAGGGAGCTCAACCTGCTCTCCTCTCGCAAGGTTTGCTTTTACAAAAGGGATTTCTTAAAACCACACACACACAATGCAGTAACATGGTAGGAGGGACAATTGGCAGGGGAAAAAGTAGACATCATAACTTAGCTTGATGTTCTCATTACAGTGAAATGTTGTACTGTGCGCACATTCACTTTTCAGTTTAAATATTCTGTTCTTTCAAGTTTAACATTTAAAATGAATCTTTATTATAATCGAGACATGCCGGTATACAGTATAAGTCATATAAATTATTCACGACAGATTACATGGTCAAATTGTAATCATACTGGAAATTTCACAGTTTGTTATAGATTAACAAGGAAAAAAGGAATTGTATAATTTGACATGGATTCTTCTGCAAAGTATTGTCACATGCCACAAAGAAAGGATGTGTGTATTTTTAAGGAAAGTATGCCACTCATCCAGAGTAGTACAATCTCCCCCCATCCCCACATTTTAATCTAATGCTTTCAAGAGAGACCAA